GCCCGCCGGAAGTCCCGCCTCCGCTGTCTCCACCTATTGGCCGTATTCAGGAGGGCTGGGAACGCAGCTGCCTGGAGCGCACTGCGCCTGACGCAAGGATCCGCCGCTGACGTCACGGGGAAGTCCGGCAGCGCTGAGTGGGCGGTGTGTGGCTGTGGCAGGGAACCTCTCTGTGCTGTGTCTGCCCTCCTAGCAACAGATGACACGGGGGGAGGAGCTTGTATCCGAGGGCTCCGCTTCGCTTATCTCCCGTGTCTTTCTTTAGTAACGCTGACGCTGTTTCAATTTTCGCGCCCGCCCACCGTCTAATGAGCCCGTTGCCCCGCCCACCATTTCCTTTCGTAGAAGTGCTTCTGCTGTTTCCGTGTCAGACCTGTGACGTCATGTGAGAGGTCGGCTCTTGAAGCGCCTCGTGTGTGCCTAGTTATTTCCAGGTTACAAGTGGGGAGATGTGATGAGAGCTTTCCATTACGTTGGCTTGGCTGTATTCTACCCAGATAGTGAGAGACCTATAAGTGTACCTGTGCGGAGCCACACCTCTGCATGTTGACATTTGAGTGCCCATTCACATGAGGTGCCCAGCACAGTCCCACCACATGCAGGATTATTCACAAAAGGGTGAGGAGTGTGGAGAAGTGAACAATCTAGGACAAAATAGCTTATTTGGAAAAAAAATGTAGCTTAAAATGGCCTTACAGGTGCATTCCAGTGCGTTTGTATGCTTTTTAATGCATTCCAGACCAGACAAAATAAGACAAGCAGTATCGTTCTGGTCTGGTCTGTAACGGACTGCACTGGTGTGAACGGTAGTCAGAAATAGCATAGGGATACATTAGGATGCATTTTGAGTCCAGAAACAATCTTATCTGGTCTGGAGATGATCTGGACATGGTGTGAATGGGCCCTGAACCTCTCCACACTCAAGCACTGTCCTTCTCAGTCCTCTTCTGGGTTAGAATAAAATTAAACTCTCAAACTTTTTTCAAAACAGAATCCAATCAAACAAATACACATTGCCTAGCAAAGTATTTCTTTACAATTTTGCCCAAACTCTTAAAGGAGAACTATGAGATGAGTGATTTCCACTCACCTCATAGTTCTAGCCGACCTGTGACAATGAGACTGTCACAGGTCGGCTCAGTAGATCGGGAGGTGAGCGAACACATAACGGGTTCGCTCACCTCTCGATCCTGTCACGGCTCTCTGCCGCGACAGGGGAGGGGCTGGTATCCCCTCTCCCCGCTCCTATCTGCCAGCGCTGACTGGCGGAACGGACGGGGGAGGGGGCGGGTACAGCTGGCTCTGCCTCTAGATAGGCAGAGCCAGCTGTCACTCACGCAGCTGGGCGGATCCCGACGTCCAGGTCAGGATCCGGCTGCGGCGTCTCAGTATACCGCGAGCTGTAGCCCGCGGTATACTGAGCTTAGGGTAACGGGAGGACGCAAGTTTCTGTCCTCCTGTTACCCTAAGGAGAACTATGGGGGAAAACACTGACCCCATAGTTCTCCTTTAAAGTCATCGGGGGGAATTTATCAAAACTGGAGCAGATGAGCATGGCAACCAATCAGCTTCTCTCTCTCATTTTCAAATCTTACCTGAGCAAACTGAAGAGAGATGCTGATTGGTTGCCATGGGCAAGATTCTCCCTGCCCCAGTTTTGATCAATTCCCCCCATCATGTTTCCAATCAGCTCCACTTCCCTGAACTTCCTGTCTAGCACAAGGGACAGAACAGTCTCCATCAGCCATCCAACAACTAGCTTGTAGATTGGAAGAAGAAGGGAGATGGGAACTGTCTTGCCTTGCTGTGCCTGTGTGTTTGCTTACTAGCACACACAGGGGTGGCTCCATAGGACCTTGCAAGGGAAAGGAGCCGCCCTAAAACAAATTAGGGTCAGTGCTCGGGGGCCAGATGATTCTGCAGGAAATTAAAACTTGTATACATCAAGAAGCAGCATCCATTGTAAGTGATTTCATCAGCATTTGAAATGGCTTAAAACCCTTTTGACTTTAATATCACTATAAATTCCCCACAGGGATTAGTTCATAAGGATTACACAATTTAATAACACTAACACTAGGGATATTTATTGGGGATATTTCCTAAGAGGGAATAACCCCCTCTATAGATCACTAGTAGATACACTTCAATATTTATTTATTTATTAGGTGGGATTGGAGTAGAAGGGTCTGTTAACAAATGAGGGTTAAGTTAGCAAAACAGACAAGGGGAAATAGATGATCGGTAAATCAAGAAGTGTAATATGTAGATATGTAATTTTGATATAAGACTAAATGTACATAGAGGGTCTTACTAGGATGATGGTTCCAGATTTCGATGACCTGTTTTGTTTTATTACCTTATTTGTGATTGATATTGTTTTAAGTGTTTAGTGTATGGGCAACTTAAGATCTGCAGATCCTTCAGGTGTGAATCTTAATTATCATCTCCTTTTGATAGCCTCTAATTCAGCCGGAAAACTTGTATTTGTAATTGGCTACACCTAGTTAATTTTGGGTGCGTCTGATTTTAGATTACTGTTCTCTCCCTACTAAAGAGAACCTACATTTATGAGCGGCATTGTCCTGATTAGAGCACATTTCAGAGCATGTAACAGGGCGGATATTTGTACTAGAATCCAACACACCTTTACTTGTCGCCTCTTTTAAATAGTTTCTGGTTTTCCTAAAGCTGGCCACACACTAAACAAATTCCGTTCATTGGGTGGCCTTGCTTTACCGTCCGTTCAGGCATTTTGAAAGCCAGTGGGGCCAACTGTCAAAATACAATAGCCGCAGCAGGATATACCGCTATCCATGCTGTTTAGTGTGAATGGGGGAATCTGTTACATTTTTTCTTTCAACAAATGTATCTTATTTGTGTATCACTCGGCTGTAGACAGTGGTGTATTGTGGTTTTGTGCTGCCCTGTGCAAGACTAAACTCGGGCGCCCCCCTCAATCTAAAGAATACATTGCAGTCCCCAGCCTGCTTCTGGGACATCCCGCCATCAGATCACATGCTATGGCCAGCCCCGAGCCACCTGCTGCTTCTTCTCCACCTACTGTACAAAGCCAGCCGGACTGCAACTCACTGCCCCCCCCCCCCCTCCACCAGGCAGCTTCTGTGCCGCCCAGCCTCGGCACACACGCACGACCTTAATCACACACGTGCGTAATGACGTCACGTGCGTTTACCTGCCAGTGGCCATCTTGGTGATGGATGACGGCAAAGAGAGGAGGGGACATTCACCTGGCAGGATAAGGAATACTGCCAGGTTCCCTCCTCTCTCAAGCAACTGTCGGGCTCTCGACTGTCAGCCATTTTGGTCCCACCCCCTCTGAGGGTGTCACACAGTGCGGGCCGCACCCCCATTGTGAGGCCACTGGGCCTTCTGCTGCAAACCCATCAATAATGAAGAGATTCTGAAGTGAGTCAGTGTGCAGACAACTCATCTTCTATATGTATTCCGTGGCGCCATTCACTGGTTTTTCCAGCACCTAATTAAAAGGGGAACATCGGCGACGCAAAACACATGAGCCCAGTCTGTATTTGACCCTAAGTTTCAGTTCACACAGTCGCCCATTGATTTCAATCGGTTCCTGCATGGCAAACGTGGGAAAGTAGCTCACGTAGCAAATTCTGCTACAGGCACCCCGTGCTTTTTTCCCCACGTGTGGGTGCCTTTTCATGTGCGTGAAAGCTTGGAAAACATGCGTTTGCCTGGCTGTGTTTGGGGTACTATTAACTAGTAATGACATTGCAAGCAGTGAGCACATTACACGTTTTTGACACATTCTGTGAATGTGTTAAAGCGTGTTTTGCCCCGTCCTTGGTGTGCATTCATGGAATGCCTACGTGTGAACAGGGACTCAGGTAGCTTGACCATCACTCTATGATCGATTTATCTGATTGGCAGGAGGTCTGAGAACTAGGAACACGCACCGCTGCACATTCCTCAGCTGCAAGGTTAATAATGTTCTCATGACAAAGGGCATTTTACATTTGGACCTTTAAAGTCATGTTGCGGTCACAGAGGGGTTAAGGTGTGCCTGCATTTTAGTTTTGTAGCATTTCTTTTGTTTTGTTTTATCACTAGCATGTGTATTGAAAAAAGTTTGTTCATGACCGAGTTCCTCTAGTTCTCACTACTTCCCCACTAGCTCCTGATCAAAGTGTTAGCAGCTCCAAGAAAACAGAAAATTGTATACTTACCTATCGGTAATTTTCCTTTCCTGACGCCAATACATGGCAGCATACAGGACCATTGTATGCTGCCATGGATAGGCGTCGGGAAACAAGAAAGGCCATGTAGTATGGGAGGCGTGGGTACCTATTGCTGCTTTGTTTCTCAATGTTGCATTCGGCTTATGAGACAAAACATGTATACCTTCTCGGTGTATTATTCACAGCCACCTCCCTTCTAAAACAGCCAAACACTTCCCAGAACATTATTCAGTCCTCGCTTCCTGCTGACTCTCTACAGCGTACAACGCCGCTGCACATTTTACAAGCTGGTTTCTATCTATTCTGTCATCATCACCTTACATAACAAACTACCATGATGGAAGATTTCATTATTTTGTAAACCCGAGCTGAGATGTTTCAAAGACATGGGGGCATATTTTTAAAGCAGTGAACCTGACATTCACCAAACATTCCCTGCAGGTGTGTTTTAAATGAAAGTAATTTATTCACCAGTGAATGTTTGGTGAAAATCCATTTTACTGCTTTTTAAAGGAGAACTATGGGGTTAAGGCTTTTCCCCATAGTTCTCCTCAGGGTAACGGGAGGACGCTAGGCTCAGTATACCACGAGCTATAGCTCGTGGTATACTGAGTCGCCGCAGTATACCGCAAGCTGCTGCTCGCGGTATACTGAGACGCCGCAGCTGAAGCGGATCCCGACAATTGTGCCTGGATCCGCCCAGCTGCTTGAGTGACAGCTGGCTCTGCCTATCTAGAGGCAAAG